TGGGTCATTCCAATGTCCAAAAACCGAGGTTGAGAAAGAGCAAATGAAACTCATTCCTTATGCTTCTGTAGTTGGAAGCCTAATGTATGCCCAAGTTTGTACTCGTCCAAATATCGCATATGTATCCGGTATGTTGGGTAGATATCAATCTAACCGGCCCAAGATTAGATCATTGGAAAGCCGCTAAGAAAGTTTTGTGGTAACTTCAGGGGACTAAGGAATATAAACTCACTTACCAGAGGTCTAGTAATTTAGAAGTGGTGGGATATTCTGATTCTTACTTTGCCATGTGCAAGGACGATAGGAAGTCCACTTCGGGATATATTTTCCTGCTCTCAGGTGGGCCAATATCTTGGAAAAGCCACAAACAAAGACTTACGACTACTTCAACAATGATGACCGAATATGTTGCGGTGTACAACGCAACGTGTCATGGAATTTTGTTAATAAATCTTATCGAAGGATTCAAAGTATGAATTCGGTCTCAAGACCACTAATGATTTATTGCGATAGTTCCGCAGCCGTGAGCTTCTCTAACAATAACACTTCGAGTGGAGCGGGATTGTTCCTCGATACAAAGTATTTATTCGTTCGAGAAAAAGTGGAGGAAAACAAAATTTATATCGTACACATCAGCACAAATGATATGCTAGCAGATCCTCTCATTAAAGGATTTTTGCACATTATTTTTCAAAGACATGTCACTAATATGGGCTTGATCAAAGATCTTGTTTAGTAAATTGTAGCGCAGTGCCTGATTAATTATCTGATGTATTAATTTCAACTACTTGATTTAGAATTCCTCCTTAAGTATGTTTTGTCTATTATTCATTGTGCACACAGAGTTATTTAATACACAAACATAACACTCTACGTGTCACGCCCCGGACCTACCCGGACACGTCAACAACCCGTCGTACAGTACGAATAGTCAACCGCAGTCCAACTCATACATACTATACAAGGCGTCTTGAATACCATTCACACGTAGTACATCCATAAATAAACATAATGTAAAATATTCATTTAAAGCAACGGAAACATTAATACAAGTGTTCAAGCCACACTTGACATCATTAGGCATACAAGACCCCAACTATTTATTTAGAAAATAATATCCATGAGTATTTATATAATTGTTTTCAAAACAGAAACGGAGGAAGCACGAACCACGTCTTCTCTCCTAGATATCCCCGAAGCAACGGGCGCCGGTAGCAAGCTTCAACTTCTACCTGAAACTGTGAGGTGGCCTTCCCCGTGAAGAAGAGGTCAGTACTTTGAAGCATTTGAAAAGTACAATGACAACTACACTGAATATAATCAATGTTTCAACTTCTAAGACCCTCAATCTAGGGTGATATTATATTATAGGTCATAACCCTCGGTTACCCCTTTATTAAAAATTATACTTACTTTATATAAAGTCAAGTAGTCGGCCCGTGGGCCCATGTTCACTTAGAATTCATCATTTTCATTCCCCGTGACCCCAAGCCACGACAACCCCATAGGGTTCCATCGAGCCCTGATTGTATAGCAAGGGCTCGGTCCAACTACATTTCTATACAATCCTGTAACTCAATTCAACACGTCAAAATTGTATGGCAAGGGCTCGGCCCAACTACGTTTCCATACCAACCATAACTTCATGGCAAGGGCTCGGCCCAACTACGTTTCCATGAAGATCACAAATACATGGTAAGGGCTCAGCCCAACTACGTTTCCATGCTAATCACATTACATGGCAAGGGCCCAACTACATTTCCATGCAATCATAGAGTCCGACTCTAATTTATTTTCATAGTCCAATTCTCAAGCAAATCCTATGCCTAGAATCAATTCACGTGGGTAGGCCTACCCCTAACACACCTTAGTGTTCGTACAATTCGACCTTAAAGTATCTCTTAAGACTACTTAAGGCATCTCTATTCACAATCCTATCTCTTAGGATTAATTCCATCATTTATTTATATTAATATCCCGACTAGTATTTCAATATTAGTCGGATAATCTTAGAACAACCAAGTTCTTAATTCATAGTCAAATAATTCATCTCAATTGATTTTCCAATCCAAATATGATTTAATCCCAATATCAAAAATATCACTTTTATCCATTCATGAATTCCTTACATGAAGTAAAAGTATATTTTATCACAACGTTTCATAGTTAATCTCATCATCATGCCATCACTTTCATATCACATAATCATACACAATTTATTCTAAATTTGTATATCATGCTTCACTTACTCATGTCAATAGTATTTTCATTTAGGCATTATTAATCATTAATAATCCATGAAAATCACATTTAATTACCTTAGGTAATCTTATGTAATTAACTCACTAATTATAAGCAATATAGTCAGACATCCTCACCTTGTGATGTGCTACAATAGTTGCCTTTGCTAAGCCCTTCGATCAATCCCCGTTCTAGGCCGATTGAAAATGAAAAATCAGGACAGTAGCCAAAAGTCGGACGGCTTTTGCAAAAGTTGGGCGGCTTTCGGGCCTTCAGCTCGAAAACCGTCCCCAACAATGGTGGTTTTCCGGCAGTTTCGACTCTTATCGATTCCACAACTCTTCTAAGTTAAATACCACCACTTTATATCAATATTCTACACTTTTAAATGTGTAGAAATCATGGTTTAATCCACCATATGATTTCTTAAAAATCATACACAATAAAAACTAGCTAAAGAGAACTAGTTAAGTTCTTACCTTTCTTCTAGCGATTTTTCCCTTGAGCTTCCCTTCCTTCTTGATTCCTCCAACACTGATTTTTGTGAGAGCTTATCCTTGAGCTCTTCCCCTCTATGGCTGGCCGAATGAGTGCAAGAAGGTGGGTGAAAGATGCCTTCTCAATCAACCTCCCAATAATGTATGGGAATAGGGACATGGGGTGTGAGTTTGTCTCTAGGAGACTTCTCCTCTCAATCATCCGCACAAACCAACCTGTGTGGCCCCCCTCCCTTATTATTTGAGTCTAATTAGTGTGTAGAATACCCCAAGTGGGTGTAGGTAGTCCCTCCTAATTATTCCTGCTATTTCTGGCAGCTTGGGTCAAAATAGCACTCGGGTTGCCCAAACGTTTTCCTCAACTTTAGTTGGCATATTATTGGGCTTCTATAATTATTACGATGATACAACTAAATATTTGGTAGTCCATTCTCAATATTATGGACTCGATAGATAATTTAATTAATCACACATTAATTAAATAAATCATTCTGTTGCACAGTTTTATTTGCTAGGAAATTCAAATACATGTTGAATTTTCAAATTCAAGTACACCCGGGTGCGGTGTCACACTAAGTTTAATGTCATTTGGCTTATATTAATCCTTATACTCTTTAAGAAGTGTCAAAGTATGATTAATAGGGGTCCCAAGTTCTATTAACCTGTTAGACTGTATTTATTTGCTTTGACATTATTAAAGAGTAAGATGAATTTTTCTTGGCCAACACTTACTTTAACTTATGTATAAATGATCTCAAGGTCAAGTGGGAGAATGTTGGAAAATATTTCATTTAAATGCCCTTGGACTATTTATATAATTTAATATACTTTTGGGACATTTATGTCTTACCATTAAATTTGTCATATGACATGTTTGGTCATGTATTTATGTGTAGTTAACATATGATGAGTATGTTTTAGCATTAAATAATACATAATGGATCAAATGAGTTTCTCTTTGATACAAACACATATACCCGTCCGTTCCAACACTTACGATTAGAAAGAATTGACGCATCGTTTCTTCTAAGGGGTCTCAAGAACACCATATTAAGAGACCCAAAGTGGAGACCGATCAATCCATCACAAGGGGTTTGTATCCTTAGAGAATCCACACATCAATGACTATGGCTTCATCATCTTCTACAACACAACCAAAGTTTGGTTTCTCTCCAACCAGTTAGTGTTCTTCTATGTGTTTGATTCTATGAAATTTATCAGGTTTGTGACATTAGATCCTTAATTGGAACCGATTTTCTCAACAAAAACACCATTTTTCAACAATGGGAAACGTTGAAAATTCCAACGTTTTGGCTAGAAAACGCCAAAAGCAAACGAGGCCAATTATCTTTTGATCTAGGATGAACCGCTTCTCATCTAAAAGAACATCCATAGACTTAATAACAGTATGAACTGCAATTGAGTCATTCGGTTCAATAAGAGAATATTACCCGAAATAGGACTAAAACATTTTGAAAATTCTAAAATAGGTTTGTCATGTTTTTAATCCGAAAATAGGACTAATTACTGCCATGTTTTGGTAGTATCAGACTTTAAACATGGCAGTAATTAGTCCTATTTTGGGAATAAAAAACATAACAGTCCTATTTTGGAATTTTCAAACCGTTTTAGTCATATTTCGGGAACTTTCCCGTTCAATCATATGCAATACATCTAGTGCGGAGTATTACGTAGTTCGTATATGGTATTTTTCCTATTCGGATATGTTAACCTTAGGACATCTCCAATGCAAGGATGCATTAGAGTTCCATGTCACCAAATGGACACTTTATTGTAAAATGTACTCTTCAATGTTAATGCCAATGGACCTTCAAAATCTGGGTTGGCAAAGGAGGAGGTCCAGCACAAGGTCTACAAATAGACCTTCGATTCCACCTTCTCACACTTCCACCTAAACAAAAAATTCATTGTAGTGTATTGTATGAGCTTCTCTTTCTTCTGACATCAATTTTTCATTTATTTTCCTCTGGAGTATCCTCCAAATAGACCTAACCATTATAATTTATATTGATAATTGATCTAGATATTCTCCAAATTGGTCCTGTCATCCTGTGGGTGAAGTCCAAATTCCACGTGAATAATGGGTTGAAAACTCCACGTAAGCCTTCACGTCACCCGAATCAGGCGCGGAATTATGCTATCAAACGCCGTCACCGCTTTCAGTGGACCCCGTCACAGGATATCACTGCACCACCAGGTAACAACAAAGAAATACAGTAGTACGTACAAACGGAGAGAAAAGATTCTTCGCTCTCTATCGGCTGATTCGGCTCCTAATTCTAGAGAGAGAAAGTTGCATTTGAACTCTGCTTACAATTCGCCATTTTTTTTTGTTTTTTCTCTCGCTTAAGCATAGTCTATGTAGAGAGTATACAAACCCTAATTGGGAAGTAAAATCAGGTTCTTTTTCCCGATAGGGTAGGCGATGTTGAAGAGCAGGCGGGGAAATCAAGGTAAAATTGCAGGCTTGGAAACCCTAACCCCAGGCCAGAGGTTGACTCTCAGGAATGCCAATGTCTCTTGAACAAGAAGATGGCGCAAGCCTGAACCCTAACCCAGTCAATCCGCCGCAGCAGCAGCACGTGAAGAGGCGGCCGACGACCTGGTCGGACGGCCATATCTGGCCCAACAAAGGGGATGCTCAAGAAGCTCTTAGGAATGTGGTTATGAAACTGCGTCTACAGTCTCAGTCCAACACAACAACACCGCCCTCCGAACCTGACTCGGATACCCAGACACTTGGCGGCTCAGAAGATCAGGATTCGACCCGGCGTTGCCACGACCCTGATTATACTTCTCACCTGTCAGACGAGCTGCTGTCGAACGTGCTCTCGAAGCTACCCGACTATCATCACGTTTCAAATTCTCTGGTTTGTAAGCGGTGGTGCAAGCTCAGTGGCAAGCTGGTTCTATCGATTAAGCTGTTGGATTGGGAATTTCTAGAATCCGGCAGGCTTGTTTACAGGTTTCCAAACCTAGTTGACATAGACATTATTCCGTCTTGTGTGAAATGGCCGCGAAATTCCTCTATTCTGATATCGCACAGGCTACTTTCAGTTCACTTGGATTCAAGCTCTTCCAATGGCGTATTTTTGAAAAAAACTGACATCTTGGATTCACAAGCCGTAGATGGAGGAGTTAAGACTCTTGTAGAGGGTTGCTCCAATCTACGGAGAATCGTTGTGATCAACACAAGTGAAGATGGATTGAAATCTATGGCTGATAAATGTGAAACATTGCAGGAACTAGAGTTGCATTGCTGCGAAGATTTTTCTTTGAAAGGAATTTCAGGGTGCAGCAATTTGCAAATACTGAAGTTGGTTGGTAATTTAGATGGGTTTTACAGCTCTATGGTCTCTGATATCGGTTTGACCATTCTTGCTCAGTCTTGTAGGCGTCTTGTGAAGGTTGAGTTGGTTGGGTGTGAGGGAAGCTATGATGGGATCAAAGCTATAGGACAGTGTTGTTACATGCTAGAAGAGTTCACACTTTGTGATCATAGGATGGACGGTGGGTGGTTGTCTGCATTGTCATATTGTCACAATCTGAAAACATTGAAGCTCAGGTCGTGTAAGAACATTGATTTATGTCCGGGTCCTGATGAACATTTGGGTTATTGTCTTTCTATTGAAGAGTTACATTTGCAGTGTTGTCATTTACGGGATAAGCAAAGTCTAAGAGCACTGTTTATAGTATGTGTATCTGTGAGAGAACTTGCAATTGAGGATTGTTGGGGGCTAGACAACGATGCATTTTCTTCGGCATGTGTATTGCGGTATGAATGAATTGTGACACACTCTCTCTATGTTGTGTATTATCTTTATGTGTAGCATGACATAAACGTATATGGCTTTTGTCATGGTTTTATTACATGCTTTTATCATGTTTTTTTAGAACTCCGTTTGTGGAAACGTTTCCTCACTAATATTTTTCTCTTGAAACATCTTCCATAAACTATTATCTGCAATATAAGATATTATGTTTGCTTTTTTAGTTCATGTTAGGATCCTGTAAAATCCTGTAAATAGTTATTTTGTTACGTTTGGCTATACATCTTAAATGTTCGTAAATAGATATACGTAAGTAAAATGAGTTTGAACAAATAAAAAATGATTTTGGTAAGTATTTACAAATTTAGAAATGTTTGAATATCACTCATTTCATTATCCCCTTAAAATTTCCATAGATTTTCCTGGCTGTTTTCATTCCTTAACATTTTTTGAATTCTGGACTTTTGTGGGACACGGGAATCCATTATCATGAACTAGTTCTGTTTTTTCTATTTTTGTGGGTGACACTAAATTTCACATTGAACAACTCACTTCCCTTATAACATTTTCCACAAGTTTCTTTTTTGAATAAGCAGATCCTAAATATCATCACCCGAGTATCTTTGCCAATATGTCTATCCAACTGTCTAACCAAATGTTGAGCTCAACCATTCATTTAGTATCACCATAGTAGATCACACTACTATTTAATATCTTTTTCATCTTGTCTAAGGCATAAGAAATAATCAATGAAATTTTATGAAATGATGCCACACATTGTGCTAAAGAGTTATTGCCTTACTTTTCTATTTGTAGGGGTTTAAGAGCACTCTCTTTAGATGGATGCTCTCTACTGACAACGGAAGGATTAGATTCAGTCATTGAATCTTGGAGAGATCTTCAAAGTCTTAACGTGGTCTCATGTAAAAATATAAAAGATAGTGAAATAACACCAGGCCTAGCAATGTTGTTTTCTGTTCTCAAAGAGTTGAAGTGGCGGCCTGACTCTAAGTCTCTCCTTTCATTGCGCCTTGAAGGGACTGGTATGGGGCATAAAGGTGGAAGATCTTTCCGGTACAAGTAAAGAATTGAGTTTAGTTGCTACGGTTTTAAGGCCCAGTTTGGTAGCATTCATCAGGTTATTCTTATCAGTAGAATAATAAGAATAAGTAGGCATTTGACTTACTTATTTGGCTGACACCGAATACACCAAATACTCTTCCTTTCAGAAGATTTTGTAGATTCGGTCACATTTCAGCTAAATAAGCTACAGACGGGCTCCAATTTTTTGTTATTGCTTGTTATGATGCCTTATTTTAAGGTCTTTGTATTTTTTGTCAATTGGCTGTACATGTGTTAAGCCTTTGTACCAAATTACAGAGTTAACTCTGCTAGTGTAATTCTAGTTGTCTAGCTGCTATATATTACATTCATCCAGATTAATTTACACTGTAGAATTGTACTGAAAAATTATGAACAAAAAAAATGTATGTTGTCCAAATTTGTTTTCTTTTACTTATTCATTGAAACTTGTGTTCCCATGAAATTGGAACTAGCTGGTTCGATCCTATGAAATTTGGTGAAATTGGATGAGTACAAGGCCAGGTTGGGTGGATCTAGTTTCTCTGCCGGGTTTTGGCAGCCAGGTAGGTGCTTCGCTTTTATAAGCCATCAGGTGCAGCAGACAGAGTACATGTCACCCCTCCCTCCCTGTTCTGGCTGCCGTCGGATCTGCGCCAGACAGAGTGCCGTGCGCGGTAGAGGAACCAAATCCGGTTGGGGTCCTTACTCGTTATTCCTATTCTGAAACTCATTATTGGTTTGCACTTTGTATAGGTGCAACTATGGTTGGACTCGGCCTGGGCCTAGGCCTGGTCAGGCCTAGGCCCGGTCGGGCCGGCGGTTCTATATAACTGGACCCGGGACCGGCCCGGGTAGCCACCGGGTTTGGGCCGGTCGGGCCTCGGGTTTGGGTTTTTTTTTTTTGCTAAGCTACCCATCCCTGACCCCCCCTCACCCCCCACCCCCCCAAACCCCTCCTAAACATCAAGCCCAACCCGGTGGAGCCCAAACAAATTAAAAAAACCCAAAAAAAATAAATTTGGCCCGAACTAGGCCTGGGCCCGACCGGGCCGGGCTGGGCCTTGTGATGGGTGACCTGAGCCCGGACCGGAAACCCACCGGGTTGGGCCTACCCGGACCGGTCACTGACCGGGCCACCGGTTCTGGCCGGGCTGGAACAGTACCGGTCCCGGGCCGGTTCCGGGTCGGGTCACCCGGCCTGAGTCCAACCCTAGGTGCAACCAACCAAGCATTTGCGCTCTGGTTTCATAATTTCATTTGCGCTGGAGCAGTACTGTCATATGCATAAGAAAAATAAAATTATGTGCTTGATAATAAGTTAATAAAGTGAAAATAAAGTATGAGACAATAATAACATGACATTAAAAAATGGAAAAATTGGACGATTATACGGGGCGGAGAGGGAGTAGTAAATTGAATTCTTTTTCTGGAGAGATGATGGGTAAATGTGGCCAAGGACAAGGTTCCACCGTAGGGGTGGACACGACTAAAATTCAGATTTATTCAAAACATTAAAGTTACTGAAGCAAAAATTCAAATACATAAATTGCCAATCATTTATTTCCTCTCACCAATCCGATTCAATATGTCTTCCAGCAAATCTTCTTGAAGTCAATGGGTTGTTGGCCTTTAATCTTTTTGAATTCAAATAAAGATTACAAATCCTCACATAGTCACATGACTTCAAATCATTTGTTTTTTCATTTCTATGGACTCAATAACTTTGTTCATGAAAAATGGTATAAACAATAAAGATCATATATAACTGAGTAGACTTATAGATCTCAACTAGCTAATGCATTTGTATTAAGGAATACAAACAACAAGTAATCATATTCATTCGTCAACTTAAAATTAAATGCCTATGATTTATTTTAAGCAATTGAACGTTTATTATGCTACTAACATTTCAAAGTAGGAAAACAAAAAACTAAAACTAACAAAATGCCTAGCTATATATATAACTAAAAGGCAAAAGACATTTAGAAAACAATGTCTCATAATAAGCAATTGAGAATAGAAAAAAAAAAGAGAATTAGAACTTAAAAAACACCTACAGGTATATTCACATACAAAATATCTGTTAATGTAGTACTATAGGTATATTCACCGTTGTATAGAGAAAAGTATTAAATAATTAAGTTATCCAACCATTTTCATACAAAATCCACTCAGACAAACTTAATTATACTAAGTTAACGCTGATAGTAGGGATATGAAATATGAAAAATCATTACTACACTCATATTCTCTGGTGTCAAATTTAATAAAATTTGTATAATTCTAAACGTAAACAACTAATAATAAACTATTCTCTATGTCCCTGTTAAGATTGTCTCAGTTTCCTTTTTCGGTTTGCCTCACTAATATTGTCTCATACCGAATTTGTAAAATTTGTGTAGTTTTGAATCATTATTCTTAATTTATCAATGACATCAATTAACTTTTTGAATAACTGCATCACTTGTTCATGTCTCACTGTTAATGTGACAGAGGTACTAATTGACAGTAACATTGAATTTCCAATTTCATTAACTACACCAATCAACTTTAGTCAAAGTTTGAAATTAAATAAAGAGGCGTAACATTAAATTGAATAATTTGAAAGTTCTTCATATGTCCTTAAATAAGTGCAACAGTTCACTTTTCACAACTTTTCACTTTTCAAATTCTAAAGCCGGATTATTTTGAGATTATTCACAACTTTTAGGCTCATCTTCCCATTTTCTAGGCAACTAATAATAACTAGCTTTGTAAAAAAATCTAGGTAAGTTAAGATCATGGATGAAGAGAAATTGATAGTTTTGAAGATTATTTGAGATTATCTCATGTGGAAGTGAGATGGCAATAAGAAGCCATAAAAAACCGTAAACTTGAGTATCATGAATGGAGATGCTCTTATGCACAAATATGATCGTTAATACTTCGTATATAATACCTCTATTCCGTTGAAAGGTTCTCATGACAAAACGGTATGGTAACTCATCCCGTTAAACAAAGTAATTCGAATATATTTTGAGAAATAATTTTAATGGGTATGCAATATAATCGTGTTAACATTGATAATTGTGATGTCATAAATGTATTATTTTTAATATTTAATGCCTAAATTGTCATTTAAGATTGTAAATTGTTTCCTAAAATAGAAATGTGAACCTTTATATAGGACGTCCAAAAAATGAAAGTGATAATCTTTTTACGGAACGGAGGAAGTATAACTCTATACTAGTAAAAAAATTAAAAAGAAAGTAATAATACAATAAAGTATAGTCAAAGTAAAACATTTAATGGTAGATTATAGAGTACGCATAAGGTACCATATCTTTGTCCACATGGACTAATCAGAAATTTACAATTGAATTATTTAAAATCTAAATTAAAAATGACATGATGATTTGGACAAATAATAGATAATAGATAGGATACCTCATTTTTTAAATGGGTTCCGAAGTTGTCTCCACATTTAGAGCCCGTATGATGACCCCCTTTCTCGGCTTACCAGGCTTATCAGTCGACTTTTTCACTAAACACGTAATTTTTGATTGGAAAAATTGAAAATAATAATCCCAATTATTGCCGGTCCGCTAACAATAATCCCAACTATTGATTATTTTTGTATAATCTCAACTATATGGACCGTCCGCCAATAATGATCCATGCCCGCATATTACATGCTCTAACAAGTGAATTTTTAATACTCCCTCCGTATCTAATTAGATGACCCGTTTGCTTTTCACGGAGTTTAAAACAATTACTGTAGCGGTACTGTAGCTGCTTTTTGAGTGAGATTCTTTCCAAAAAGGGAAAGGAGACAATTAATTTGATACACCAAAAAAGGAAAGTGTGACAAGTAAATAGATACGGAGGGAGTAGAAATTAAGCGTAAAAATTAAAATTTGAGATTATTTATGGGGATTACATGTTATATCTCTTTAGAAACTATAGAAATTTATTTATATTCGGTCATGTTGGACCATTATTGGCGGAAGGTCCCTAAAGTTGGGATTATTCTGAAATAATCGATAGTTGGGATTATTATGAGCGGACCGCCAATAGTTGTGATTATTACAATCAATTTTTCCTTTTTGATTTTGCGCGCTAAAGTTTGTAATAAGCAGTAAAGGTAAGGTTGAAGTTACTTTTCTGGTTGTAATAGATGATCATTTTAACCATTTCTTCATATAATTTTTTATTTAATTTATTAATAACAAATATTTTAAATCTAATTTTTTCATGAATCAGCAGATTCAGTCAATACAGACACTTTAGCCAGAACTTCATAAGTTTCATCACAATCGGCTAATTCAGTAAATTTTAGTGTTATGGCTCTTAATTTGGAAGATGAGAACAAATCTTGGGTGTCTTGCAACGTGTCAAGAAAGGATTGGTAAATGCTATGTGTCGAGAGCCAACATAGACGTCCACGAAAGGATTATAGAACCCTGCTCTCTCTTTGATTTTGCGATACTAATAGAATTCACCCTATTTTTCACAATCTATCCCAGCATCAGGTATGACCTCCATCTCCATTCATTCTTCTCTGCTTCAATTCCACAACTGTTAAACACGAAAACTGTCTGTCTTTTATGTATATTTAAGATCTATAGTGAAATTTTCCAGATCCGAAACACCCCCTCCGATCTTCTATTAGGTCTAAAATATTTTTCAATTATGTGTACCAAAGGACTAATCTACAGATCTTTTTTAATGATTCGAAGAAATATTTGCTTTGTTTTTCAATTTCGCGATTTTTTCATAACATATTGATGATTATATTCTCTGTTTTTCTTAGAAAACTGTGTTTTTCTCAATTCGGTGATTTTATCTTGAGATTTTTGTTTTTTAGTTCACGGTTATCTATTACATATATAAAAAGCTCTCACAAGCTGGTGATAAGAGTCAAAATGCGGATTGAATAGCTATTTATGGAGTTTTAATTTATAAATAGTTAAATTAGTGCAATTTGTATCTTTAATTTTAATTGCATGAATTTGTGAATTTGATGTTATTTCTGTATTCTATCCTCAAATTTGTTCGCGTTCTTTAGTAATTTGATTGACAAAAAGCCTGCAAGAAAATATACGTTTGTCGTTCTGTGTATGTATAGTGGTGTAGATGTAATCCAATATGAGTGTACTATTTTGTTCTAGTGAAGAAAAAAGAGAGCACTTTTTAGTTAGTTGATACTGAGAGCATGATGAAATTATTTCACCCTCAGTGTTATGGACAGCGATAATCCAAACCATTCCACACTGTGCACCCCAATTTTAAAATTATTTGGATCTTCACCTGAAAATCCTAGAAGTGGGTCGCAACTCGCTATTCGCTAAGATAGATATTAAGCTTATTATGAGGTCTGAGAGAAGTAAAAACTTTTGTGATGTCCTGGTGCAAACTCAAAGGATTCGAAAAGTAGTGGTGCGAACTCCAAAGTCCATTTTAGAA